CATCGTAGATAATTTCAAAATATTCAAGCACTGAAAAACTCCACTTTATAAATACTTTTGTTATGTTTTGCCATTAGTATCTAATAAAATTTATAAAGTCATCTCAAATTAACAATACACCTTTATTTCTAACCATTAGTTGCAGAGAAATCAGAACTCAGACAGTGCAAAACGTTCTCCACACATACAAACGTACCACAGACCTCAGCCAGACAAGAACTTTTCAACATTGGCGCAATTTCTCCTCCACAACAAAAGACTGTCGATGATTTGTTTGACAGCTATAAACTTTCCAATATAACAGGTAAGCTATACTTTACTGAGGTATTAAATTCTGGAAAAAAAGTGTTCCCTCGGAAGCATTAGTTATTTTTTACACCATCATCAAACATCGATTAAATCCCCGTAAAAGGAACATTTTAATGTGAGCGATTAACCTGAGAGAGTAGCCGGATTTTTCCCGCGCTTTAATAAAGCTCTAAAGAGGTTGCCGGGAGTGGTCCATTGTTTAAATAAAAAAAAGCGAAGAAGGAAAATTTATACTAGCGCAGTAAATGTTTATTAAATTTTGAATGACTAGAGACATTGATTGGAATAAATTGATGGGAAAATATGGGGGTGGGAGTAGTTAACCATCTTACGTGTTTTGTTTCCAAATATAGCTCGGGTTTCGTTAACAACTTAAATGTAGATATATAAATATACGGATAGTAATAATGTTACAATGTCTTTATTGTTTATAGGTCCCCAGTGGACAACTTGGAGGAAACCGAGGTCAGTAGCTCGATTCTACCGCAGACGTACACGATTACCACCCTCGCCTAGTGAGCCAGAAGCAGAACTCTACATAGACATACACGAGGAGAGAATGGAGGGACTTTCTTACATATTTGAAGTGGCTCCTATGTCTACTTCATCATGATCATGTTTATATATATAAAAACCGTTTAGATATATTATATTTTTACAATTTTTCTAAATTCGTATTAAAAAAAGAACATAATTAATTTTGAAATAAGTGTTGCTTCTTTTTTATTTCAACAAAACAGATTAACAATGGTGAACAAATTTAGGAAAAATTCGGCCGAAGTATATGAAGGTTATTAATATAACCGTGCATAAACGAACCAAAAGTCATTTTTCAAGACTTATTTAAGAAAGTCCAAAGGTATCCCTTTCAGTACCTTGCAAACTGAAAACAGAATAAAAATAAACAGCGAACTGGTGCGCCAAAACAAAATGGTGCGACAAAAAATGGTGTGGTAAGTAAAAACAAAATGATGCGGTAAAACATAATGGTGCATTAACTGTCACAAAACCATGACTCCGTTAATATGATTCCGTTAATATTACATATGCCGATTTCCGACATACAACGTACAACGACCGACGCTATTTGTTCACACTGGTCATTCGGGATCATTGAGTCCAGCACTTTTAAGTGTTGAGAATTGAGTACAGGTCAAGCCGGTGTTAGGGGGCGTGACCTGTGATGCAATTTTTCATTATCCCTCATGTACAGACTCAATCAAACCGAGTCTGCAATTTTCATGTAACTTCGCTGTTTTTATTGCTTCCGAAGGATCACTTAACCATATATTTGTCTAAATTTAGTTAAATTAAAGCCTCGTTATGAGTTCGAGCGGCACAGTTTGTAAGATAAATTATTTTTTGTCGATAAGAAACCAGTAACATATGCTAGGGAAGTCATCAACAGCAACGACATTTAACGGATATGCTAACATGTAAACTTATATGCTAACATGTAAAATGACATGCTAACATGTAGAACTGATATACTAACATGTAAACTGATATTCTAACGTGTAAACTGATATGTTAACATGTAAGCTGATATGCTAACGTGTAAACTGCTATGCTAACAATTAAACTGATATGGTTACGTGTAAATTAATATGCAAAACATGTAAAACTTATATGCTATCGTGTTAACTAATATACTAACATGTAAACTCATATGCTAACGTGTGAGCTGATATGTTAACATGTAAACTGATATGCTATCGTGTAAACTGCTATGCTTAGATGTAAAACTGATACGCTAAAGCGTAAATTGATAGGCTTACATGTAAACCGATATGCCAACGTGTAAACTGATATACTAACGTGTAACTTAAATGCTAAAATGTAAACTGATATGTAAACTGATATGTTAACGTGTAAACTGATATGCTTACATGTAAACCGATATACATGGACTAACATGAAAGGTGATGTGCTGACATGTAAACTGATATGCTAACGTGAAAACTAATATACTTAAACGTAAACTGATACGCTAACGTGTAAATTGATATGCTAAAATGTAAACTGATATGCTAACATGAAAACAGATGCTCACTTGTAAACTGATATGCTTACATGTAAACCGATATACTAACATGTAAATTGATATGCTGACATGTAAACTGACATCCTAACGTGTAAACTAATATACTAACATGTAAACTGATACGCTAACGTGTAAATTGATATGCGGACATGTAAACTGATATGCCAACGTATAAACTGATATACTAACATGTTACTTAAATGCTAAAATGTAAACTGATATGCTAACATGTAAACTGCTATGCTAACTGTAAAACTGATATGCTTACATATAAACTGATATGCTAACATGTAAACTAATATGCTTACATGTAAACTGATATGCTAACATGTAATCTGGTATGCTAACTGTAAATCTGATATGCTTACACGTAAACCGATATACTTACCTGTAAAGTGATATGCTAACATGTAAACTTATATGCTTAAATGTAAACTGATATGCTAACTGTAAAACTGCTATACTAACATGTAAACTGATATGCTAACATGTAAACTGATATGCAAACATGTAAACTGGTATGCTAACTGTAAAACTGATATGCTTACATGTAAACCAATATACTAACATGTAAACTAATATGCTAACATGTAAACTGATATGCTAACTGTTAAACTGATATGCTTACATGTAAACCGATATGCTTACTGTAAAACTGATATGCTAACCTTGAAACTGATATGCTTACATGTAAACTGGTATAGCAACGCGTAAAGTGATATACTAACGTGTGAGCTGGAATACTAACGTGTGATCTGGAATACTTACATATGAACTGATATGCTAACATGTAAACTGGTTTGCTTTCAAGTAAACTGATATGCAAACATGTTTCGTTTCTATTTAAAATGATTCAAGATCGATACAAAAACACACTTAGTTCCTATTTCAGATTTCCCGTATCAAAACTTTAATGTTTTCATCTTTCTAAGTTATTTCACATTTATAAGTGTATCAGTCAGTTCTCAAGAACTTATTTTCTCAAGAAATTATTCACACCTGAAGGCTTACTATTACACTATATTTGTATTACGACCTTTCAGTGATCTATATATGGCGATCTGTTGCTTTTCCTCCACACCTTCTCTTTAAATGGCAGACAGTATTGTGTTTCTTATAACGAACATTTTTATAACCTTTACTAGTTTATCGTCAATTTGCTTTCATTTTTACGTTAAAATCTCTGCACTTAACTTAGATGTATAACAAATGACGACGAAAATAAAGATATAGAAATAGAAATTTCTCCCCACTCAAATCCCCACCCACTCCGTATCGTTATAAAGTCTGGTAAATCGTATATATACGTTACATATACCGGAAAGACAATTAAACCTCAAATTTAAAAATAAACTTACTATTTTTTCAGGAAGGGCAATATTATGTTTTAAATGTTTTAACATGGATTTAAAGGCACATTTTGCATCACAAATAAATATTTTTTTACTTCTTTAAAAACATGAATTCTATAACATTTAAATAATGTTTTAGAGTAAGTTAGATGCTTATGACATGAAGAAAGTAGCGATAAATTGCAAATAATTTATGACAAAAGTAACAAAATATAAACAAAGTAGTATTTGGACTTTCATCAAAAATACTAAATCACTATAACTGTACTAATAACAAAAATTGCAACAAATGTTAACAATGTGTCAGGTATTGGCCACTGAGTAACATTTTTTGAAAGCTTAAAAGTATACCAACAAAAAGCATTTGATGAATAAAGATGAAAGCATTTCGGAGAAAGAATGGGCCTTTAAGTGTATAATTAAGATGAAAACTAGAGTTGAATGTGAAATAGCTTGTCCTAAATGAGTATCTAGCAGGTCAACAAAAGTGAAAATATTTGTTAAGAAATAAAAATGTATATGCCTCTAAGTTGTTTGTTGATAAAAATTACCATTATTTTTCCATTATTTCCTTTAAACTTGGAAATGCATGCTATACCTAATAAATGATTAATTTTCCTGAATTCTTAGAAATGAATCAATTAATTAAGGCAAACATAATATTTATTTATAACAGCTGTGAAAGACTCGCACGGGTGTTCATGACTTATTGATGATTTATGGAGTCTTGCAAATATTTAAAAGATACATGTAAGATTATTGACAACATGTGGAATCATCATTTTCATCATCCTGTCCTGCGCATTTCTATGGGAACCATAATGGGACAGGGAACCAGAATAAACGGAAACATTGCAGAACATACCGAATGTCACTTTTAAAACGGAAAATGTAAAATAAAAATGAATGATAACTCTAACCGACTTTCCCGTTCATAGGCTTTGCCTAATTTTATATTATAGGGTTAACGCACGTTTTTCCGTGTTATAACGTCTGCAGAGTCCCGAGGAACGGTTGGTGCCCGAGCCCGGTAGGGCGAGGGCTCCAACAGTTCCGAGGGACTCTGCAGACTTTATAACACGAAATAAACGTGCGTTGACGCTATTATAGCATAAAATTTTCAAACAGATTCGTGATGTATAGTTTATACAAAACACAATTACATTAAATTCTTGTGCTTGGACGGTATTTATCCAATTCTATGTTTTACGTATGCGTTTCATTTTTCCGGGGCCAACAACTTGGAAAATTCTCGGAACCGAACGAAATTTTGAATTTTAATTGATTTAACAAAGCTTGGCCTTTGGAGATTTATTATCTCAAGAAAAAAAACGTTACATTACTCTACCCTCTACCCAAGACAAAACATGACCCTCAGAAATTCTTAGAGTGATTTCAGATTGACGGTAGAAAAAAGATCAGTGACATCAGAATCGGTTATTTTTTTCAAGCAAACCAGTTTATAACAAAATCAGGCACTAAGCATTATTCTCTCAAAGAAATATAATGAGCATTTATCAACATTAACATAAATAAAAAAAACATATTCTCATATCAATTTTGTGTTATCTAGTTTTGTAAGTTAATCGGAGTGTTAAACTGAATGACAGGTAGATTCTTCTGTACTGGTTGGAGAGATAACTCCGACACTAAATCACATATTTTTTGCAATATTTTAATTATCTTCCAGTATATTTTAAATATTGAACCACCTAAACAAAGTTCAGTTCAAAGACTTTACATTACACCACAAAAACTATGTATGAAAATGGAATCTGGTACTTCTTTAAGGTCTTGAATGAGGTATACAAAACATGGTCTTTTTACCCCACAACAGTAGATAAAGTCAACACTTAAATTTTTTAGTAAAAAATGACTGGAAAATCAGCATCAATAATTTATTTTTACATCTTATATGGTTTATCTATTTTTTGTAAATATTTAAACAATTTTTCAAAAATCTTTCCCTAGTCAGTGGCCTGTGGTCAATACATTTCTAACTACCTTACTGTAATTTAGTAAAAAGAATGTTTTGAAGCAGTTTTTGCCTACAAAAAAGTTTAGGTTATTTGAAAAACATTAAAAAGTCTACCAAATTATAACAAATCATCACATTCTGTCCTGCTCCTATACTGTTAGGTGATCATGTGCTTATTTGTTGAAAAACAAAGCTAAAACAATTATATTTATCAAGTGTCGGGGTTATCTATGCGTCGGAGTTATCTCTCCGACCAGTATTTGTTTACATTGACAACTGTCCGTTTCTTAGAAAGGGCGACAACCAAGATTTAGCACCGATGTCTATACGCCGTTTTTCCGGCATAGTTACTGGAATATGCAACTGAGGCCCTCGAATCAATAAATTTCAATTTAACAAGAGCGCATGGCTCTTCGGCAAACAGGCCAAATCGTCATTTTTTGTTTGTTTGTTTACTGGGCCCTGTATGTATTGCGCATAGGTGAAACCGGGCTATAACAAGGGCGCGTGACTATGTTAACACATGGTTTTGGTCCCGTTATAACATGGGCAAAAGAGGGAAAAATAGCCGATTTTATGCTATAATACCCGAACAATAATCTGGTTCCCTGTCTTATTATGGTTCCCATCTATGTTCCCTGACGGATGGATTAAATTAAGATGTCATATAAATCATGCAATGGCCGTATAAAGTGTGTGGTTGTGATGAGTACAACCGAGCTTTGAGGCTTTGCTTTATTCATATTTTATAGTTAATATCTTGAGTAAACTGTGTTAAAATGCAAAATAGATCATAACAGATATATAGTTATGAATTTCATATTGTTGGAATAAATTTGATTGCATTTATTATGTTAGTTCATCTTTTTAAATAATTTAAAGGGCAGCCTTTTTATGACGTCATCTTTATAATAACGATATCTGATTGGACAAGAGAGTCGACGTAACGTCATGACATCAAAACCTTGCAACGTGATCAGAGATTGGATGTGCGGCTAAGCGCTCATAAGTAAAATGAGATCTCATTGGCTTAACGCGACGTCAAAACGTCGTTGTCTGTTTACTAAGATACGACGTCAATAGCGACATAACAACAAACGGTATTACTCAAGAAATACACAACAAGCTTTGAAAATATAACCATAATTATGTTTCAGTAAGTTATTTTATGTTTTCTTCTGTATAACATAAATGAGCGCTCTAAACTATTACTATGTATTTTTATTTGTAAATATGTGAATGAATTCGGTAAAGATAAAGAAAGATAAAAATACAAACAAACAAAAAGTCTCATTATCAGTCAAAGTCTTCAAGGTTAATAAACAATTACGTATAATTTTGCAAAATTATCAAACTCTTAATAAATTTATGATCCTGGAATTTCAGCCTATCAGCTTCGAAGTTAGAAAGCCTGTTAGCGAGCCAGACCAATCAGTTTATGGCTTACATTGGAGCCGGGGATTTTAACTATCAGACCCGAGACATTACAAATGTTCACTACAGAGAGCGCAGATCAGGTACTTAATCTTTATATTGCATTATATTTAAATGATTTAAAAGGTTGAGCAGTGAGTATGAAAGAAAAATGAACGAGGAAAAACATGTGATGTCTGCCAGATGTCATTGATCATATTGCCTAAAGCGTTGACAATTTTTAGTTTTAATTTAACTTTCTAATTTTTTTTTATTTTGTTACTTATTTGTTATATGAATTAACAGTTTCCTAAGACATGCTTGTTGTGATTTTCTTTAACATCGTAGATAATTTCAAAATATTCAAGCACTGAAAAACTCCACTTTATAAATACTTTTGTTATGCTTTGCCAATAGTATCTAAATATTGTATTCAAATTTATAAAGTCATCTCAAATTAAGAATACACCTTTATTTCTAACCATTAGTTGCAGAGAAATCAGAACTCAGACAGTGCAAAACGTTCTCCACACAGACAAACGTACCACAGACCTCAGCCAGACGAGAACATTTCAACGTTGGCGCAATTTCTCCTCCACAACAAAAGACTGCCAATGATTTGTTTGACAGCTGTAAACTTTCCAATATAACAGGTAAGCTATACTTTACTGAGATATTAAGTTATTTTTTACACCATCATCAAATACAAACATCGATAAAATCCCCATAAAGAGAACATTTTAATGTGAGCGTTTAACCTGAGAGAGTAGCCGGATTTTTCCCCCAACACCCAACACCCCAACACCCCCCATCCTCCCGCTTTGATAAAGCTCTTAGACGTTACCGGGAGTGGTGCATTGTTTAAATAAAAAAGCGTAGAAGAAAAATTTATACTAGCGCAGTAAATGTTTATTAAATTTTGATTGACTAGAAACATTGATTGAAATAAATTGATGGGAAAATATAGGGGTGGGAATAGTTAACCAACTAACGTGTTTTCATTTTCAAGTATTGCTTGGGTTTCGAAAACAACTTAATGCGGATAGATAAATATACGGATAGTAATAATCTTACAATGTCTTTATTGTTTATAGGTCCCCAGTGGACAACTTGGAGGAAACAGAGGTCAGTAGCTCGAATCTACCGCAGACGTACACGATTACCACCATCGCCTAGTGAGCCAGAAGCAGAACTCTACATGGACATACACGAGGAGAGAATGGAGGGACTTTCTTACATGTTTGAAGTGGCTCCTATGTCTACTTCATCATGATTATGTTTATATATAAAAACCGATCATATCTTTTATAATTTTTACTATTTTTCTATATTCGTATTAAAAAAAGAACATAATTAATTTTAAAATAAGTGTTGCTTCTTTTTTCTCAACAAAATAGATTAACAATGATGAACAAATTTAGGAAAAAATCGGCATAAGTATATGAGGGTTATTAATATAAACCAAAAGTCACTTTTCAAGACTTACTTAAGAAAGTCAAAAGGTATCCCTTTCATTACCTTGCAAACTGAAAACAGAATAAAAAAACCCAGCGAACTGGTGCACCAAAACAAAATGGTGCGATAAGAAATGGTGTGGTAAGTAAAAACAAAAGGATGCGGTAAAACATAAGGGTGCAGTAACTGTCACAAAACCATGATTCAGTTAATATGATTCCGTTTATATTACATATGCCGATTTTCGACATACCACGTACAACGACCGACGCTATTTGTTCACACTGGTCATTCGGGATCATTGAGTCCAGCACTTTTAAGTGTTGAGAATTGAGTACCGCTCAAGCCGGTGTTGGGAGCGTGAGGGATGTTGCACGTTTTCATTATCCTTCATGTACAGACTCAATCAAACCGAGTCTGCAATTTTCATGTAATTTCACTGTTTTTATTGCTTCCGAAGGATCACTTCACCAGATATTTGCTTAAATTCAGTTAACTTAAAGCCTCGTTATGAGTTCGAGCGCACATTTTGTAAAATAAATAATTTTTGTCGATAAGAAATCAGTAACTTTTGCTAGGGAAGTCATAAACAGCAACGACATTTAACGGATATGCTAACATACAAACTTACATGCTAACATGTAAAATGATATGCTAACATGTAGAACTGATATGCTAACGTGTCAATTGATATGCTGACATGTAAACTGATATACAAACGTGTAAACTAATATACTAACATGTTAACTGATATGCTAACGTATGAACTGCTATGCTAACCTTGAAACTGATATGCTTACATGTAAACTGATAAACCAAGGGGTAAACTGATACAATAACGTGTCAACTGGAATACTAACATGTGAACTGATATACTAACGTGTGAACTGGAATACTTACATGTGAACTGATATGCTAACATGTAAACTGATATGCTAACATGTAAACTGGTTGGCTATCAAGTAAACTGATATGCTTACGTGTGAACTGATATGTTAACATGTAAACTGATATGCCAACGTGTAAACTGATATACTACCGTGTAAACTTATATACTAAAATGTAAACTGATATGCTAACCTGGAAACTGATATGCTAACATGTAAACTGATATACCGACGCGTAAACTGAAACAAACACTAACGTGTGCATTGGAATACTAACATGTAAACTGATATACTTACATGTAAACTTACATGCTAACATGTAAACTGATATACTTACATGTAAACTGATATGCTTACATGTTTCGTTTCTATTTAAAAATGAATCAAGATCGATACAAAAACACACTATGGTCCTATTTCAGATCTTCTGTGCCAAAACTTTAATGTTTTCATCTTTTTAAGATATTTCACATTTACAAGTGTATCAGTCAGTTCTCACGAACTTATTTTCTCAAGGAATTATTCACACCTGAAGGCTTTCTAATACATTATATTTGTATTACGACCTTTCAGTGATCTATATATGGCGATCTGTTGCTTTCCCTCCACACCTTCTCTTTAAATGGCAGACAGTATTGTGTTTCTTATAATGAACATTTTTATAACCTTTACTAGTTTATCGTCAATTTTGCTTTCACTTTACGTTGAAATCTCTGCACTTAACTTAGATGTATAACAAATGACGACGAAAATAAAGATATAGAAATGGAAATTTCTTCCCACTCAAATCCCCACCCACTCCCTATCGTTATAAAGTCTCGTAAATCGTATATAGATACGTTGGATTTACGTGAAAGACAATTAAACCTCAAAAATGAATAAACTTACTCCTTTTTCAGAAAGGGCAAAAAATGTTTTAAATGTTTAACATGAATTTAAAGGCACATTATGCTTAAGAAATAAATATATAAGTATTTTTACTTCTTTAGAAAGGGCAAACATTTTTTAACATTTTAATAATGTTTTTACAGTAACTTAGATGCTTATAACATGAAGAAAGTAGCGATAAATTTTAAATAATTTATGATAAAAGTGAAAAAATTTAAACAAACATTTTCATACAAAATACTAAATCACTATAACTGTACTAATTTCAAAAAAATGCAACGGATGTTAAAATGTGTCTAAAGCTGCAGTCTCACTTACATTCCAGCAGAGCCGCGGAAGACGTGCGGGGTGATCCGGGAGCGACCGGGGTACGACCGGGAACAACCGGAGTACATCTGTAAGTCTGCCGGCAACTCCTAATAGATATTATATTTAATGAAAATTATGTATCAACATACTAGTAATCATTTTCGCGCGTTTTCAATCCACCGGGGTTTTACCGGGGACCTACCGGGATTTACCTGGACTCTGCCGGGGCTCTGCCTTGATCGACCGGCTTCATCCAGGAACGACCGGGGAAGAACCAGCCTGAACCGTAGCTTCACTTGGTCTCTGTCTGGATGGTCCGGAGCGCATCCAGGGTGGTTAGTTAGGAACTACCGAAGTGCTGGCGCGGTAAGTGTGACTACAGCAATAATTTCACCCCGAATCGTCCGGATCACCCCAGTAACTTACTGAGGTGGTCCAGGGCTCTGCTGGGAGTAAGTGAGCGCATCTTTAGGTATTGGCCAATGAGTAACATGTTGAAAACTATAAAAGTATACCGAACATTACAAGCATTTGATGAATAAATATGGAAGCATTTCGGAGGATTAATAGGCCTTTGAGCATATGAGATGAAAAACTAGCCCTGAATGGGAAATACCGTGTTCGAAAAGTATCAATTTGTTAACAAAGCGGTATTTTAACTTCAAAACAAAAGTATCAATTCACAAGCTTAAAACAGTTCAGCTCAATGACCAATGAGTATCTTTTCAGAAACGTGAGCAGGTCAACAAAAGTAAAAATCTTTGTTTATCAAAAAAAGCGTATAGATCTCTAAGTTGTTTGCTTATAGAAATTACCATTTCCTCTTTTTTTCCATTATTTCCTTTAAATTTGGAAACGCATACTAAACCTAACAAATGATTAATTATCCTGAATTCTTAGAAACATATAGATACATTTAAGATTATTGACAACAAGTGGAATCGTCATTATCATCTTCATCATTATTATCACCACCACAACCACCACCATCATCATCACCATCATCATCTGCTTCTTCGTCGTCATCATCATCATCGCCATGATGATGATGATATGAAGCAGCATCGTAATAATAATAATAATAATAATAACAATAATAATTCTCATCATCATCATTTGACAATTTAAAAAAAAAATGCATACTCTTTATATATTTTATGATTATAAAACATGATTTTATGATTGTCTTAAACAAACTTTACATAATTTGATAACTATAAAATATGATGCATGTCGTAATTTATTAATTTACAATCAAAATAACTAAACATGAGATGTAAATCTATATATAATGGAACTTAAATTAGTATAATTGTGTGTATTTTTGTTTATTGGTGAGATATTAATAAACAATAAAATATACAAGTGTCGCCATAGCAGCGGCAGTAACATCTGCTCGCGTATTGATTTGTTATCTGTCAGCAGACGACATGAATTAGGTGTTATCGCGAGCTGAAAATGCTATCTATAAGAATAAATAGAGTACTTGTGAAATACTTTATCTTACTATGAGAAGATATGAATATATTGAAGCTGAAATTATGTCTCAAAATACGAGAAGAGATATCCATGTGTCAGATACCAGACTGAATTTGATGAAATTCTGTAAGGGAGATCCCCTGAGAAGGCTTCAAAAATGCAATAAAGGAAATTATAGATGATCTCTAGTTCATAATAGTTATGTTACACCGTATAAATCTTCAGCCGAATAGAGGTCCCCTGTGAGCTTACCCGTTATGATTTAACGGATAGAGCTGTCCGTGAGCTGTCTTTCCTCGTTATCAAAGGATAAAGCTACCCGGAAGAATAAAGAATAATGGATGGAGGTGGTCGGAAGTTTAATTTGTCAACAACATGCAAAATTCTTTTTCTAGTGGAATACCGTCTACTTATAAAGCTCTCCACCTTGAATTTGGAGACAAAGTTTTCTTTTCTGAAACACAGTCGGTGACCAAGTAAATGTAAGTTGGTATAACAGTTTTGTTGCATTGTCATAAATAAGCAGGCGTTTGACTTGAGCACCTGAGGCCTAGCTGTTTTTCATTTTGAAATATGTGTCTTGTACAAGTTTGTGGAATAAAAGTACTTTTCTAGATTCTGATGAACATCTTCACTTGTCATCATTATCGAAACATTTCCAGTAAGACAATGTAGTGTAAACGTCTTCTTCTTTATAGCCAATAATTTTATAATCATCATCGTCGTCGTTGGCCAACAACAGAATCATTGTCATCACTTGTGATGTCATCGTTATCATAAGCCCACTAAACTATATTTTTATCAGAAGCGGTGGGTCCATCGTTTTGCTACACTTACTGACACTTGAGTTCAGATAAATGGTAAAGAATTACGGTATGTGTAAGGAGCCGAAAGAGTACATATGTGGATAAGTCTCACTATGTGTTTCAAGGAAAACGTTAAAACATAAAGTTAAACTCGGTAATTACGAATGTTCCAACGCCAAGTCGATGAACCTAACGCACCTGCATTAGTTATTGTCATTGTAACTACAATCAAACTAAATAACTTTATCACCATTACAAAGTTTTAATCATCTATCTTTTCATTTTAAGTAATAAGCATCTTTCTTATTTTTCTGGCCTAGTTTTAGACATTGATTTTTATTACCAAGTTCGATGTTTTCATCGGAAATTGTCACCAATGTCTTCTTTATACGGTATCTGAATCACTATTACGTTCAAGACATAATTTCAAGACGAGTTATTATTGAAATCCATGATGTGAATT